AAAGGCTAAGCTTGATGAATGTAATTCTCTTTCAGCCTATCTGACTATGTAATCTGGTGGAGATTTCATCTGTCACTTGCTTGAACAATTGTGTTTAGTTTTGTTTGTATCCTGTTGTCCAGTACTTTTTTTTTTAAAATAGGAACCCAGCCCTGAATGGATACTAAACCAAACTCCATTTCTGTATATCCACTGAACTAAGTGGATTCCACTGATTATATGTCCTTTTCAGGTTTTGTGTTCTTAGCTGGAGCTGTACTGAAGCCCTGTTACTGTATATTATAATATTTTATCTAGCCATATCTCTGGTTAATGTTTCCATTTCTTGATTTGGCTTTCACTTTCATGACATATGCATAGCTGCCCTCTTGGCACATGCTTTACATAACCCATAACCTCCAAGAAGATTTAAATTATGTAAAAGATAAACATAACATTTAAAGGTCATGGTCAACATACTTAAACATTACATATTAACTCCAATTCCTTTTAACAATTCTACCCGCGACAATGACCCAAATCAACAATAATTGAGAACGCATTATACATATAACTAACATATAAAACATAAACCATTGCCACCGAAGGCATGATTTTCCAGTTTTCACAATGTAGGGGCATACTGAGATACACCCTACACACACCAGGTTCGGAGCTACCAACGAGCTCAAACCTACCATAACCATACCAAACCTAACTGTTCTTAGCGAACTAAAACTATCCTACAGATAAACAAATGACCTACACCCCAACTTTTCTATCTAAGTATAGCTGTTCCCCCCCACACATGAGCCGAGGCTTAATGCTGGGAAGTAGTCTGGTTTATTCAGGGCCGCACACGGCTTTTTATGGAAAAGCCCCCATGGGGTTTCCGATACAGAATTACAGGGTAACCCCTACCATGATCCTCTGTGCCTGAGAAATTATTACCTGTGAAAAAACAATAATTAAATTATCTCAGGTATAGAAAAATCTACAATGTTTAATAAACCCCAAAAACACACATAATAAATCCTGTACCCCCTCAAGTTTTATATCCACGCATAGCATGGATCTGAGTGCTCAACATATCCAAAAAGCGCTCAGATCCCACGAATACGAATGCCACCGGGGTAAAATTTTGACTGACAGCACATGAGGCTCCTGCCCAAAATAGTTCCATAGAATCGTTTCTTTCAGGAATACAAAAGCGAATAACCTACCAAACGTAGTTCATAGTCATAACGTGGAACTTGTTCCCCTAATCCATACGAATGGCTCCACTGAACAGTGCTCTTCTAGGATGTAAAGTACCGAACGCAGGCGTGGATGGAAGTTCAGCTGTGTTTGCGAAATCGAGTGCCTGATTTTAGTTCCATGCACTCGACGACCAAACACCGCTGTCTACGTTCGTGCGAACAAGATGGCCGCCACCACGTGTTCATGCATACGATTGGCAGCCACCCAGACGAACACTTAGAACACTGGTGAGAATTGTTGCAAGGAGTCAATGGGGTTTAACAAGCTCCCTGGTGGTCTTTAGTTTGTGGATTTGTTTGTTTCCCGAACAGTACAGGGAAACTACACGAACCAAGTCTTTTTACATGCTTTTTTACAGGGCCCATAGTCTTTAGGCAGGAAGCTAGCCAGCAGGCTCCTCCAGAAACACGTGGCAGAGGCATCTTTGCCAGAGATGCGTGCACCGCCTTTTCTTACTAAAGGGAAATATACTTATAGAATCGTTATGAAATAATTGTTTTTACCTTTGAAGATTGCCATAACTTTTAGTTCAGTCCTATTTATTTAACAAAGTAGAGATCATCAAGGCGTGCGTATTAGGCAAGAGAAAAATAAAATCAATTGAAACAGAGGCCAAGTCTCCATAGTCAGCTAAATAACCTTGCTCTTAACTGAGTCCACTGTAGCATGGCCTGCTCCTCTCCAGTAGAGCTATTAACATTCCTTAATTGGCCGCCCAGAGTAGAATCTAACTTGTTCATATTATAACGAGCGTATACAGCTATTAGCGCTGGAGATAGATTAACCCTATTTGAGTAAGGCATCTTTAGCAAAGAATTCTAGAGACTTTAATAAAAGTGATCAGGGATCACGTATGAAATTGCTATTGCATTTATGAATGTACCGTTTATATTAATCGGTCTGATCTAGCAGGATTATTTTTAGAAAACTGAAATCCAAACAGCAACATTTTTACTTATATAGCCAATTTGTGACTATAGCTGAGCTGGGGAATGTTTTCTACATCAAATCTTTTAACCTAAATTCAGATTTCAATTCTAGATTTGTGAATTTGGAGTTTTGTGCACAAACCACAAGATGCATTTTTCCTTCAGGAGGAAAGGGATACATGACTTGTTTGGGCAGAGAATATTTACCGGAGATGAAGTTAACCATACGGCAATCTTTATCTATAAATACAATATAGTTGGAATTTATCATTTATTTTCACGTGATAATATTATCACTCCAGGTTACAGGGACGGTGTGCAGTGTAGTCAGGGCCAGAATATCCATAAGGCAACATTAAGAAGGTGGCAAGGGCCCAAAGGAATCATCAGGGGCCCAGTCTGATGCCCTAAACATACCCATTTTATCAAGGATATGCAGTGATGGCCCCACTCCTACACGTTACTGCAGGATGATAATGATTGGTGACAAAGTGCTAAATATTCTGCCAAGTTGTCTACCACTGTAGTACTCCCTTTGATTATCTGGGAAAAGAGCATGCCATCACCATTCTCTGTTAATTTTTTTTGAAATGTTGGAATGTTATATTTTCTATCCTATGTAAGTACTGCACCAACAAGTATCCACACACAGCCTTCCCCTTAAATAAAAACACAGTTTTAAATGAATACTCCAGACACATAAAGCACTTCATGTATTTTGTAATTTTTAAAAAGGCATTTTTGACAGTTTATAAAATATGCTAATTTCAGTAGAAATTAGCACATCCATACCTGTGGGCAGAAGCACCTTCCCAACTCTCACTCAAGACAATTGGGAATGTTTTTTTCGACTTCCATCAGCTCTGCGGAACTATAGCATACATACCAGTTTACTGAGAAGCATTGAAAATCAACAATTGTGTGCACGCGATTATGCGCACTCCTAACTCCAGCACAGAGGCTTTTTAATGAAACTGAAAATCTGTCTCTTTTGCAACCTGTATTTGTGCATAGGAAATCCCTTTAAAATACAACATCCCAACAAAAAAGTCTCCAAACTTCAATGTCATATTTAGATTAGTCATGCTCAAATTGTCAAAAAAATCTATTTCAGGTAAAGATCTCTATGAGGATAAATGTGTGATGGAGCTCGGTCTCAGATATGTCTGAGAGGATATATAATGTTCAAGCAGTTATAGCAGCAGTTCCTCTTATGACATCACAGAATGCTGTCACTACAATTTCTCAACAAAGAATCATTTATCCAGAGGTGGATTGGAGAAAACGTTGATGTGCATCAGAAATATTTATAATCAGTATTAGACTTGTGCATGATTAAACATATTTTGTTCTTCCTAACTATTTTTGCAAATTTTATTTCCTTTTCTTTAGGATGGCAGAATCTTGTTCATCCCACGGTTCAGCTTGCTGCTAATAAAAATTTGGGAACGCAATTCTGGCAGGCAAAAAAGCAGGGCGAAAGATGCCTGCGACCGTGCAAAATTGGCTACTAAATTGCCTGATATAAAACAGGTCAGCGGTAATTAACACAGGATTATTGGGTAGGCAGCGGCCCCAGCAGAGAGAATCCCTCAAAACACTTTGGAGAGAACAAGAAAAACAAAAGAAAAGGGAAGGGCTGCGCCACAGGTAAACACTAATAGTACAACTTATTTGGCACAAAGCCAGAAATAGGTCTGGTGTAAAAGTCTCACAAAGAAAGTTTCTATAATCCAAAAATGAAAAAGTCAGTGCTTGATAGGATGTACTGTCCTCAATTCAACTTGACCATAGATAATATGGAAGACAAAAGACAGGGATAAGTGATAGTGTAGCTTGTTGAGTACAGTCTTTTATATAAGGAAAAGGTAATGATGGGACACTCACATTTGGAAGAGCCAGCAGTACAATCCCCGCTTTAAAGGATAAACAGCAACTGTCAACCACGTTCCCACCAAGATGATATGAAAGACAGGAAACTGGAGCAGGTGATAGTGCAGACTGTACAATTCAGTCAGATAAAAGTATAAGATAACAATGGAACACTTACATTTAGAAGAGCTATAGCCAGCTCTAGCTGTATTGGCGTACAGCGGTATAATCCCCGCTTTAAAGCATATGCAGCAAATGTCCACCACGTCCACACACTCAGGAAGGAATAAAAAAGGCAACAGATAGTGCTCTCAATAGAATAGAGTAATCTCTAATAAAATGAAGTAAAATTATACTTACAAGCAGGGCCGGATTAACATAGGGGCTGATGGAGCTGCAGCTCCAGGCCCAGGCCCATGGAATAGGCCCATAGATTTATATTTAAAAAAAAAAAAAATTTTTTTTTTTTTTTACATTTTTTTTTTCACACACTACTCTTAGGAATTCCACCTGGCTTTTATTTTATTGGCACAGCTAGTATTTGAGGCTGCCTGGCTGGTGCAAATATTACAGTGATACTGGCAATACAAATGCTGGTATTTTTCTCAGTATAAACAAGAGATTACTATGCAATACCAGCACAGGCCAGTAGGGTCACTGTGTGTGGAGACAGGCAGTGATAGGAAGTTCCAGCATATCCCTCCCTGCCTATCTATACTCACTGATCTGCAGGGGTGCAGCTACAGAGAGTCCAGACAGCAACTCCCACCCTGCAGAGACAGCCTACAGCTCAGGGAAGTAAGGAATGGGGGGGGGGGAAAGGCTGCAAGGAGACATGGGGACACTGAGACACTAAGGGAAATTGGGAGACATTATGACACAGACACATGGGGGCACAGTGTCCCCATGTCTCCCAGTGTCCCCATGTCTCCCAGCCAGTGTCCCTGGTGTCTCAGTTCCCCCTAGTCTCCCAGTGCCCAGAGTCTGCCAGTGTCTCACTGTCCCCATGTCTCCTAGTGCCTCCATGTCTCCCAGTGCCTCAATGTCCCCATGTCTCCAAGCTAGTGTCCCTAGTGTCTGTGGCCCTGGTGTCTCCTTGTCCCCATGTCTCCCAGTGCCCCCATGTCCCCCAGCCAGTGTCTCTAGTGTCTGTGTCCCTGGTGTCTGTGTCCCCATGTCAAGTGTCCCCTATTTTCCCAGTGTCCCCATGCGTCCCAGCCAGAGTCCCCTAGTCTCCCAGTGTCACTGGTGTCTCCGTGTCCCTAGGTCTCCCCGTGTCCCCAGGTCTTCCCGTCTTCCTAGTGACATGGGGACCCTGGGATACATGGGGACACAGGGAGACATGGGGCATTGAGACACTGTGATACATAGGATCACTGGGAGACCTGGGGACACGACACTAGGGGACACTGGGAGACATGGGGCACTGAGACACTGATACATAGGAACACTGAGACCTGGAGTAATCGACACATGGGGGCACTGGGAGACATGGGGCCACATGGGGCCATCTATACAGCAGAATCAAACTAAGTAGTTTTTTGATGATTTTACAGCATTTTCTCTTATGCCACTCCTTATGATTTACATCATGTGATGTCACCCATACATATTTAATTATGCAAATTAGCAAGGCCGGTATGTTTTTCCAAGAAAGGTGGCAACCCTAACTACTTTTCACATACTCTTACTTAAGTATGGAAACTTAAGAGGGATGTATGGGAACAAAACTTGTGTGGACTGGCTGACAATGAATATAGTTAAAGGGACACTAGAGTCACCAGAACAACTACAGCTTATTGAATTTGTTCTGGTGAGTAGAATCATTACTGTCAGGCTTTTTGCTGTAAACACTGTCTTTTCAGAGAAAATGCAGTATTTACATTACAGCCTAGTGATAACTTCACTGGCCACTCCTTAGATGGCTGTTATAGATCCTTCCTGGGTCATGGATGCCTAAAATGCATCCAAACATTCAGTGTCTCCTCCCTCTGCATGCAGACACTGAACTTTCCTCATAGAGATGCATTGATTCAATTTATCTCTATGAGGAGATGCTGATTGGCCACGGCTGTGTTTGAATCATGCTGGCTCTGCCCCTGATCTGCCTCTTTGTCAGTCTCAGCCAATCCTATGGGGAAGCACTGTGATTGGATTAGGCGACCACTTCTAATGATGTCAGCAGACTGCTTGTTTTTCTGTGTCTAACAGCATGCAAAATTACAGCTTCAGGCTTGAATACAGTAAGATTTTGCTATATTTATCGAGGCATGAGGGGCCCAGGGGGGGCTAGATGGTGGTGTTAACACTATAGGGTCATGAATTCATGTTTGTGTTCCTGACCCTATAGTGATCCTTTAAGGTAATGCTGTCTTTGATCTCTCTAACACTGTGGCATGTTCCCTTTCTTCTACACTCACTACATACAGCTTTTCTCTGTCCCAGACTGTATACCAGGAGCTTCTGCCTGCTGGTAAGAAGGTAAGGAGACAAGTGACCAGCGAGTGCTAGGGGACAGTCCTTAGAAAGCATTGAGCGAGCGCATCATTAGATGCATTTATGCCAAGCTCAGGGTGCTGTCTGCGTAGTATGCCCTTAGTTGGCCAGCTGCATGATTGGCAGGCAGCCTGACATGCATTCATACCAGGCTGGTCTTCTAATTCTTTGGGCAGACATATCCTCTTTTTGGGTATGTTCGCCCCTTTTGGCAGGTTACGTGATTTGTGTCAGTGGCACACCCTTTTACCATGCCCATTGACTTCCAGCTTGACTGGACACTGCTGTTAGAGGTTATGGATTTACTTGAAAGATGAAAACATAAATTAGTGAGTGATTAGCCTAGGGTATGTATTTTCTTATAGCTGCTGTTTTCTTTCTCTCCAGCACCATCTCCATCAAATACATGACGCTTGGGAGTGTTTTACTGTTTTTGGTCGATATGATTCTGTAATTAGGCCCGTCATAATTGTCAGCACCAGGCCCACTGGGCTCTTAATCTGGCCCTGCTTACAAGGATAGAGCAGACTGACTGCTTTATGAACACAGCGTTGGTGGTATTATCCCCACCTTGGGATTACTTGAAGTATAAAACTTAAAATTACCAGGGAAAGTGCATATAACAAAGGAGATTGGCACAAAAAGGTGACCAAAAAACCTTTAATAAGTTAAAATACACAATAGTAAATGTTCATAACGCGTTTCACCTTTACAGGCTTTATCAAATGGAGTAAAAACAATCAACCTGACTTTAGGAGTTTATATAGGGATATATATATTGGTGCCAAAATTAGCATTATCCAATCGGAATTCAACATATTTAAAAACATTTTAAAAGTACCTAAAAGGTATTAAATTGTATTCTTAGTACAGAGGTTAAATATCATAAATTTTATACAAAACTAGGGTTATATTAAGTGAAAATAGCATTGGGAAGTTGGTCAGGTGATTTGGGTGTGTAATTGGTTGCAATGCTACTTGGTATATGTAGTAAATGATTACATATTGTGAAGGGCAAGAGGCAAATTGCGGTGGTCATATTGTGAAGGTCAGATAGTGGCCGAAAATAGCGGCGGCCATTTTGGGGAGGTTTTTTTGACAAGGTTCTTATTAGGTGGAAGATAAACTAGCCGCAAATGACGGTGGCCATATTGAGGAGGGCAGGGGGAGATTACAGCTCCATTTGGGGAGTGGTGCAGATAGAAACAATGAATATATTAATACAGGAAATAATTTACAGAAATACAAACAATAAACAGGAATAAATAATAATATAAAAGGAGAGTATTAGGATATTAAAATGGATATATATATAAAACTACTGATATTTATAAAAAATTAAACAGATCAAAGTCTGCATTTAGACCACAAGGGTTTAGAGTTTGTAAATTATATACCCATTCCATTTCATTTCCTCCTCTGCATGGAATAATACACTTTTTAACCCCTTAAGAACTGAGCCAAATATACACGTTGCGATCAAAACAAAACGTAAACAAAAACTTGAATTTGCAAAAGTAGACAACCCAATGTATTGCAAATGGGGTATGCCCAGTCTTTTTTAGTAGCCACTTGGTCACAAACACTGGCCAAAGTTAGTGTTAATATTTGAAAATGCAAAAAACTAATTTGAACGTCAATTTTGGCCAGTGTTTGTGACTAAGTGACTACTAAAAAAGACTGGACATACCCCATTTGCAATACCTTGGGTTGTCTACTTTTGCAAATGGTAAGCCATTATGGGGGTAATTCTCATTCCTGGGCTACCGTACAGTCTCAAAGGCAACGTAACCAATCTGGCGAATTTCAATGTGAAAAAACTGAAACGCAAGCCTTATATTTGACTCTCTACCTTTTGAAAACACCATAAAACCTGTACATGAGGGGTACTGTTATACTTGGGAGACTTCACTGAACACAAATATTAGTGTTTCAAAACCGTAAAACGTATCACAACAGTTATATTGTCTGTGTAAGTGCCATTTGGGTGTGAAAAATGCAAAAAAAGTCACTTTCACTGACAATATCGTGGTTGTAATGCATGTTACTGTTTTGAAACACTAATAGTTGTGTTGAGCGAAGTCTTCTGAGTAAAACAGTACCCCCAATGTACAGGTTTTATTGTGTCTTGGAAAGTTACAGGGTTAAATATAGTGCTAGCAAATTAAATTCCCTGGACTTTTGGCCTGGGTTGTCAGGCTGGTCCTGCTAATTGTAATTAATAAAATTACCTAATTATGTAAAATTATTACATAAATATATATGTAGAATTATTATATTTATGTGTGTATATAAAAATATATATATACATACATATATATATATATATATATATATATATATATAATTTTTTACAATTATTTTTATTTATATATAGGTATATATATATATATTGTGATATATACATATATACTTATGTATATAAATATATATATTATTTTGTTCTACATGTATTTTGATATCAATATATATATATTAAAATTTTAAAATACTGTTAGAACGAATTTATACGTATATATTTTATTTATTTATTTATTATTTTTTTATTTAATTTTTTTACGTATTTACAGATTTATTTTATATTATATATAAATATATATATAATGAAACTTATATATATATTTAATCAATATCATTCTACATGTATTTTGATATTAATATATATTTATAATTATATATATATTAATATTAACATACTCGTAGACAGTGTATGTGTATATGTGTATATATATATACTTCGATCATATATAATAATATATATATAATCTAAGTATATATAATGTTATTTTACACTGTTTTAAACTTTAATTATTTTATTTTCAGACAGCAGGGGGAGTACCTGTCATTACAGGCACTCCCCCTGCTGGCATTGGCAAGGACCTCGCGATCACATGGCCCAGGGGGCCGAAGAGGACAGAGGGGGACTCCCTGGGCTCCCAGGTGAGTCCCGAACTGAGATCGCCGGTGTGGTTCCTTAAGAACGGCATAGAATGCCCGCCGTCCTTAAGGGGTTAATACCTATACATTTAAAAAATGTTGGGTCACTGTTATGTTTAACAAATTGTTTAGACACTGAATGGTTTAAGTATCTTTTTTTGATATTTCTACAGTGTTCACTTAAATGTATTTTAAGACTTCTTGTAGTCATTCCTACATATTGGAGGCAACAAGGGCACTCCAATAGGTAGATTAATTTTTTTGAATGACATCCAATAAAGTAATTTATTTTGTATGTTTTTTTTTTTGTTCTATTGGATGCAAATTGAAATACTTTAGAAGGGACAGAGGGGACAGTACTTTTACACACTATACATTGTTTACATTTGTAAAAATCTTTGGCTTTAGGTAAAAAAAGAAGTTAGTGCATTTTTTGTCTTAATTTCTCTAATGAAATTGGAGGTTAAAATAGATTTGAAGTTAGGAGCTCCTCTGAATATTATGTTTGGTTTTTCAGGTATAATTTGCATAAGGGTCTCGTCTTGTCTTAATAGGTGCCAGTGTTTTTTTATATTTTTCTTTACATATCTGCTTTTATTCTTGAAATTAAAAATGACTGGAAGGGGCAAAATGTCTTTAGTGCGTTTGGTTTTGTATGTTAAAAGTTCATTTCGTTCTCTTTTCTTAATGGTATCAATAGTTTTGTTTAAGTCAGAAGATGAGTAGTTTTTTTCAATGAATTTGTGCTTTAAAAAGTCAACTTGTTGATTTAAATATTCTAATTGGGAGCAATTCCTACGTATGCATAGAAATTTACTTTTTGGTGCACAGCCAAGGTTTATAGTGGCAGCTTGATTGTTCTATTGCCGTGTTTGCACAGAATTTAAAAAAAATTTTTTAGTGTGTAGGGTCCCTTCTTTAATAAAAATATTAATATCTAAAAAGTTAATAGTTTCTTTACTATATTCATGGGATAAGATGATATCTCTGTTGTTAATATTTAGATTGTTAATAAAAGAGATAAGAATATCTTTAGAACCCTCCCAAATAAAAAAGAGATCATCTCTATATATGAAAAAGGGGACCGGGTTGGCCCACCAGCTATGCTCACCCTATATGGCCGTAGTTTCCCAATCTGCCATAAACAAGTTGGCATAACTAGGGGCAAACCTGGTCCCCATGGCTGTGCCTCTCTTCTGAAGATAAAAGGAGTTAAAAAAACAAAAGCAGATATTATTTAAAATTAAGGCTTTTTTTTTGTTTTTTTTTCATTCTTTATTTTTGTTTGTGCAAAAAGTAACAACAAGCGAGCATAGCCACGATAACATCTGCAGGCATTTTTCATTACATTTCAAAGTGTGGCAGTTAAAATGGCACAAATTTTTTTTAAATAACATGAGGTTAATGGGCTTTTAAACATCAGTGGTTTATATATTAGCATGCTAGACTAAACATATATATATAAAACAAGGTTAGTTGCGCTGAGGCTTCTAAATATTGAACATTGCATCGATAAACTAGACAGCTGTTATGATTAGGGTGAGATTACATTGTCGACTACAGGGAAATACCAGCAGATTCACCATCCGTTTGTACAAGCTTAAGGTGCCCCTTTAGTGAGGACTGGCTAATAAAATATTGCATGCGCTATTAGAGTGGAGACAAGGTAGGCACCACATTAGTAAACTGCAAGAGGTAAAGGTAAAATAAAGACATTGGAAGAACATCTGTTACTCGATGCTGAACTAACGGTCAGAGATCCGTTCCTGCGATATAAGGCATACTGTGAAAGTCCTGCTGTAACGAGACATGCCTGACAGGCTCCGATCTCCAGTCTGTGTTCATCCGATCCCTTCCGGTTGCCAGATGCAGTCTCCGGGAGCCCCTGTCTCCTGAGACTTCAGAGGTGTAGATATGACTAGGTGCCAGGTATCTGGGTGGTAAAGTCGCGCTTTAGCAGTCGATCGGCGTTGTCCTGGTGGGCATGGCGGCTCTAGTCCGCTGTGGGGTTGTTGCAGCTTACATTGGGGGTGTGTGCTTGTCATGGTGAAGGCTCTACGTTTCTGCTTGTGCCACCGGACCTGTTTTCGGTGTCTCTTTGGGGGGTCTCTGTCGGCTATCATTTTGCGTCCCCTCTTGGTGCCCGGGAGTGCGGGTGGTGTGGGTGCAAGAGTGGTACGATTAGCTTTAGCCGTGTTCAGTGCCCTCTCCGCAATCCTGGTCCAGAAGGCAGCAAAAATTGCATCTAGCTTAGTCAGGGTGTAGTTTGGCGATTTTCCGCTTGTCTCCATGTTTGCTGACTGGCGTGTGGTATCCGCCATTTTGGAACTCATGGTGTTTGCAGTCTTTGGGACATGAGTGTCAGCGGTGGGTATGCTGCTGGTGCCGGGATATCCCCCACCAGCAGGGGGGGGGGGAGAAGGCTTGTGGGTGGACCTCCGCAGTGTCTGAGTTTGCTTTCAGGGGGTTCCGGGCCGGGCGATCGGCCGCCTCACCCATGCCCTCACCTCCGTCCAGGCCGCTATTCAGGCTAGTCGTCATTGCGGTAGGCCCCATCAATGCAGCCCGCATTCCTGGCGGCTTAGAGTTTCAGGAGTAACTTCTGTATGTTCTCCTTTGCAGCTCCTACCTGGGTGATGCAAATTCAAACACTTTTGCAGCATGAGAACTGGGGTTATTTCGAGTAAAGTAGGATTTCAGACGAGAGCTCTTGCTGCATGCGTCTGATCAGCTCCCCAGCCAGGTTCCGCCCCCGCTATTTAAAATTAAGTTTATGCCTTCCAATATAAAATTGATTTGTTTTTTAGGGATTCTTCCTTCTGTTAAGGTTTCTCTAATGGCCTGATCCTATATTAAGGGGGATTATTGTGTAGAGAGATTGTGCGTCACAGGTGACTAGAATACAGTTAGGTTGCCATTTAAAGTTGTTTAAAAAAATTTAGAAGTGACATTGAGGAGTATGTCTTTATATTGTGACAGATTACATAAAAGGGGACCAATGCTAGATAAAATTGGTCTACCTGGAGGTGTTTTATCGTTTTTATGTATTATTGGAAGGAAATATATTACAGGAATTTTGGGGTATTGTAAGTTTAAAAAACTGAATTCATGTTTATTTAAAATGTCTGAGTCTAATCCTTTCTTTAAAAATTGTAATACAATTTGTTGTATGTTTGGTGTGGAATCAGATGGTAATTTATCATATACTTCTCTGTCATTAAGGTGTCTTTGGGCTTCTTTTATGTATATAGTGCTTGACTGGATGACTACCCCACCTCCCTTGTCTGCTGGTTTAATAACTATGTCTTTGTCGTCTTGGAGTTGTTTAAGTGCTATTTTTTTCAATATGAGTCAGATTATGTGTGTTATATTTATGTTTTTTATTTTGTCAAAATCTCTTAAAACTGATTTCTCAAACATTGTAAGGGGGGCTGACTTAAAATTGGAGGGATAGAATTTAGACTTTCATCTGAGATTTGTGTGAGTAGTTGGTTGGGGAATGGGGGGTGAGATTTGTGTTGCTTATTTTTATCTATGAAAAATCTCTTCAGTGTGGCTTTACGAACACATTTATTTACATCAAGGAAGGCTTCAAATGGTTTGAATGGATTAGTGGGGGCAAATTTGAGACCTTTACTTAGAACAAAGATATTTGGGCTGTTGTTAAGACTTTTTGGCTTAGATTAAAAATGCCACAGCTGGGGGGATTTAAAGTGCTTATTGTATTTCTAGCCTTTCTCTCTTGTTCTTGTCTCCCACTTCATCTTCCTCTAAGCTTAGAGTCCTTTTTTTCTGCTCGTGATGGATAGGGTGTTGGTGGGTTGCGGTGAGTTTGAATTTCTAAAAAAATGGGTCTCATTCTCGATTTCTGAGTCGAGTGATAGTAGTTGGTATCTGTTTTGTGGTGACTTGGGATAGTAGGTGATTTTGAGTAGTTAGAATATTCATTGTAATTATTAGTATAGTGTGATCTTTGGGGTTTGGGTGAGAATTGGTTGCTTGGACCAGGTACATTGTAGTATTTCAGTGATTGTGTAGGTCTGTTGTATTTTCAGTTTGAGGTTTTGCGGTATCTGTGTTGAGGTATGTGATTGTGATTGGTAGTAGGTGGGTGTATTTTGTGCATGGGTGCTTTGTATTTGTTGTCAGGGACTCTTTAGTTTTGTGGTATATGTGGAGAGTGCTGTGGTGGTTTGTAGGTGGTGTATTGGGGTTTAGGTTGAATAAAATTGGAATTGGGTCTTGCATAGTTGTGATGCTCAGAGTACTTAGCTCTAGGTGGGGGATTTTCACATATATACCATTTGTTTAAGTAGTAGGTTCTTACTTGCTTGTTTGAGTAGTCAGTTTTGTCTCTTATGTATTTTTTGATTTTCAGATGTTTTGTGTCCATTTCAATTTTTTCTATCTTGCTTTGGATCAGTAAGGAATTTTGTTTATACACTTTGGTCTCAGTGAAGGGTATGAGTTGTTCTTTGAGGTTATTGATTTCTGTGTCTAGTAAGGACAATTTTTTAATTTTTTTTAACTATCATGGTTTATCAGTCTATATATTAACAACAGATGTATCATCTTAACTGATGACAGTAAAGAAACTATTAACTTTTTAGATATTAATATTTTGTGCTAGTTAGGACTAGTTTATATATAACAAGTTTGAATTGCGCAGGCTTCACGCTCTGAGGGACTTACAGAACAAGAGGGAGAAGTTTTGAGCTTTGGCAGTCAAGATTCGTCTATTTAGCAGCTTTTTCTGCAGAATGGAGTAACTTATGCGGCAACTGGAGGAGGGAGCTAAATGCTCAGGAGGAGTGGCCTGTTGGCCCGCCAGTTTTCTGTTGGATGCAGAGGTTTTCTAAGAAACCTTTGAGGAAATAGAAAAGGAGAAGCTGGAGGCTGGGTTTTGTCAGGAAGCCATAGAGACCAGTATAAGCAGGATGGAGGCATGCCTTAGCCCCGTGATTCGGGTCAGAGATAGAGGAAGCTACAAGTGACCAGGAGGAGTCAGCCAAAGGAAGAGGAGTGGCGATGAAGAAGAGGAGCATACAGCAGAAGAAGTTTTATTCACCATTCCCTGTCTGAAGAGCTAAGAAAACCAGGAGGCTGGTCAAGAAGGCTGCTACTACATTGGCTGCTAAGTCTGGCAGAACTGCAGAGCGGCAACTGCAAAGTGAGAGTAGAGCGGAGCCAGGACCACTCAGTAATATGACAGAAGTGTTGAAGACAGGTGGGAACTTCCCTGGGAATGCTAATTTGGAAAAGTTATGGGAAGTAGCCTCTATATTAATTAGCTTTTTTTAATAATGCAAAGCAGGGCCCTGCCCCTGCTTGGGTTAACCCCTTAGACAAACAAAAGATTGTTCATAATGTAACAAGGGTGACAAAGATTGTCTAAAAGAAGCTATGATCTGTGAGATTTCTCCGCTTGGTTTACATTTAAGTAGTAATATCAGAGAAAAAATGCTTGAGGGTGACTGTATTGATATTTTGTCACTGCTTCCAGCTTCTAAGGAATTCATAGCTAAACAAGGAACAGATAAGGAAGAGGATAGGCATAGGCCTATACCAATATCATTTAATTATTGGTTATAGGCTTTTTGCATACATGCAAATATTATATGTGGAGAAAATCCAAGTTTTAGTATGGGACTGTTTCAGCATTTGGAGTCAATGCTGGAAGTCTATAGAAAATTCAGGGATATAGCTTGGTATAATTATGACAACATGTTTAGACAAAAAATTTCAGTTCAAAAGCAAATTGTAAAATGGGGTGTTAAAGATGTTAGTTTGTGGCTTAGTACAATTTTACCACAAAGGCAGATTTTTCTTACTATGTCTGCGGAGGTTTTAACAGTGACTAGCCAGAAAAAAAGGTGTCTGTTAGGCTTTTAACGACTCACAATGTAAATGGCTGCACAATTGTAGATACAGGCATGAATGCTCGATTTGCATGGGAGCGCACCCTGCAGCAAAATGTTTCAAAAAGTCGGGTCTTAACAGTAATTTTCAAAGCAAAAGCGGTGACTCCAGTGAAGCTGCTAAGCATGCTTCATTATTTCTTATTTATTTTTTACAATTTTCCAGATGCTCAATACACAAGCAGTAAAACTGTAGAAGATAATATGGCATCATTGGTAAAACCAAGGTACAATGCAGGTTGTTGTCATACTTAGATGGCATGCAATAGTATTTCAGTACATTGCTACATCGCCCGGTATACCATAGTGGATGCGTTTTGACCTATCATTACAAGTGCATCTGTTTTCTAGGTAAATCCAAGGTAGTAACTGGGGATAACGAAACAGGATAAACTGGGAGGATAGGAGGAAGGCATGTAGGGGGTCCCCAAGTAATATAGTATAGTAAAGTATGATATAGTATGTGCGTTCCTGCATGGTTCTAGTTTATATCTATCCATGAGAATAGATTGTAAACAACTTGGTTGCTGCCAAAATTCCTTTAGGTGAATGGATCAAATGTGTCCTGCCACCTGGGCCTTCTGGGGCCATGTGGCCGCTAGTATAGTGAGAGGACAGCTTGCCATATAATTTTCTGAACGGGGGGGGTTCTGATTAGGTCACATCGGCCCTTCTATGTGATAAGTCAAGTATTGTCTATGTTTTGAAATATCTGTTGGGAGAAGCTGCAGTAAATATATTTCAGGTTTTTTTTGGCAGGTCCACTTGCCCAGAGGTCAAAATAAATGTTGCCACCTCGTCCCAACATGGTGTGAGCTTAAGGCACGACCACCATATGTGATACATGGTTCCAGGTTCCAGCCGGCACCTCCAACAGAGGCCCGAAGATCCCGTTTTTTATATGCTTCAGATTTGTAGGCACCAAATACCATCGATAAAGGATTTTCCTGGTCAGTTCAATGTGCGCTGTGCGTAGAGTGAATGTTTTATTAGCCAGATAAATATTTGACCACTGTGCATTTTCTAAGGTTTTCTTAAAATCTGTCTCCCAGGCTTTGACAAAGGTGGGTTTCTCATTCCCTTTTCTCTGTGTTTCAGCTGTGTATAAAAAGGAAATGAGTTTGGTGGGAGTTTTCTGTTGGATGCAGAGGTTTTCTAAGTCCGACAGCTGGTGCCCATGTTCATGATCTCCGTCTGAAGTGACATGTTTGTGAAACCAGGACCTGATTTGTAGGTATGTGAAGCTATCTATGTCTGGTAGACCATATAGGGTCTGAAGATGTGCAAATGTGTGCAAACGTTGTGTGTGTATCAGTTGGTGGAGGTGTGTGACTCCGTGGGAGGACCACAATGATACCTGAAAGTTAGGTATGAGGGTCGTAAAGGCTTTCAGTGGCATCGCC